TCTAAACTTCAAAAAAAAATACAAAAAGGAAAGGCCAAAAAGAAAAAAAAAAAAAAAAAAAATGATTCGAAGTATAGGTTTGAATATACCTCAAACTAAAACTAAATGGAAAGGGCAAGTCAACAAATATCCCTTTTAAATCAAGTTTTATGTTCAAGTACAAATTTGACGATGTTTTCGTTTTTTTCTTTTTGAAAACGGGAAAACAGATACAAAGACGAAAGGCACTCGAACAAAGTAAAGAAGTTTCTAAAGACAATCAGTTTACAATGGAATTTATCCTGTAAGCCACAACAATATGCTGGAAAAAAATACAACAATAAAAACCACCACCACCATCTCAAGACTATACAAATATCAAAATATTTAAACAGTAGCTAGTAGCTATAGGCTTTTTTATTTTTTTTTTTTTTTTTGGAAATGGCTAATAGCTATAGGCTGTCAAAACGGTTTTTGGTTAGAGGTTCTTTAGTTACAGGATCTACATTAGAACTGATAAAGGTAAATAACAACTCCGGTGATCAACAGGTTTAAGAATCATGGTTTGTAGCAGAATTTAATACCCGTCCATGCTGACCAGACGCAGAGTTGGAGTTGTTTTCTACTGAAGTTTCTTGTCCATGGTTGCTATGCTCACCGTTGACAACAGATCGGACGGCTGGAACTGGATAGCGAGCTTCGAGGTTCAATGTTGCATCCGGTCCGTACAATTGAGTCACCTCTTCCTGTTTCATCAACAATTAGGTTGCATTTGAATTTATGAATTTGAAATGAACAGATTTAGCACCACTCATTCAAGGATTATAGGCCTGATTCAATGTAGCTTTTCAGATATAGACTTCAAGAATGAAATCAAGAGCTTTAGATTGATGGAATTGAAATAACTAGGTAAATAAGTACAGTTTTTTGAAATCTTAATGAATATTTTAAACAAAATCTAAATAAAATGCATATTTTCTTTCTATATTCAATCTTCTGATTTATAATTATCTATATACCTTTCTATAATTTTACAAAATTTAAATCTCAAAGCCCAAAGCTCAAAATTTCAAATACACTAGTCCATATGAAACCGTAATGTTAGAACTTTCAAACTGAAAAAGTATTTTTACTTTGGTAAAAAACTTTTAATTGCCAAGATATATTCTCAGGCATAGATTTCATCCAACCCTGTTAAATTTTTTAACTAAACAGCCAACTAGTTCCCAGTGGAGAATCATAACGGAGGTTTTCGTAAAGTTTCTAATTCTAAAGTTTCACCAGACAAAAACTAGAAAGCAAGCATAAAACAGACCAAAAAAGGACGTGTGCAGAAGAAAAGGGTTAATCACATACCATTATGGAATTATTTTCAGACGAGAGATTCTCGCATTCCTCAGCCAGGTTCTTCAGCTCTTCCTCAAGTGTTCGGTTGTCATTTCTCAACTTTTGCACCCTGGTTTGCAGTTCCTCGCACTCTGCCTGCTCAAAGCAACAAACAATTAAACGAGAGAATACAAAAGGAAAATTAGCAGAAAATTGGAAGTTATGGTTTAAACAAGCTGTAGAAATTAAACAGCTGTGCGAATATCAATAAAAAAAAAAAAATTAAAAAGAGATAACAACTAAAGCAAATTTTTGTATACATCCAAATACCTGCTTACGCAACCTTGACCTCCTAGCTGACTCCCTATTCGACTGCTTCCTCTTTTCTCGTTTTATTTCACGTTCATCCTGTGAAGTCCAAACAGTAAGCATTAAATTAAATTTGTAAATAACATACCACTTATGAAATTCCAAATGTAACTTGGTCCTCCAATATATATGGACATTCACACAAAGAATTAAACAGATGCAAATTAAAAATATTGAGCTCTTTAGATATTTTACTCCCTTTTTTCCAAGTATGTACAGAAGTTATATTACATGTGAGATGATCCAAAATTGGAATAGAAGAAATGTCCGCAAGTAACATAAAGCCATTCTGTTCTGCAGCCACATTCCATTTACATTGAAGATCATTAGCCCTTTAGTCTCCTCTTCAATTAAATATGCCACTTTCACAACAATCAGGTGTACTCTTCCATCTAATGGAAAAGGATTTGACATGTGATGAAATTGACCTTCCAGAAATGAACCACAATGAAGTTCACTGCATGCTAGGTATTTCTATTGTTCTTTAAATCATATATCCAAATCAGTTAAACTTGTGTGCTTAAATGACTTTGAGTAATATCAGTTCACTACCATGTAACCACATAGCCCATGAAATATGGCAACCTCATAAATAGCCTAGTTTAGTAATTGTGAATCCAGAGTATATAAGAAAATAAAATATATATATATATATATATTATAAAACAAAGGAAATAAGGAGACTCAAAGAAACAAACCAAATTTGAAAGGAGCAGAATCCGCAGAGCTGATCGACATAGAGACAGAGGTGGAAGTCCAACAATTCAGAAATTGGTGAAGGAAATTTGATTTTGGCAGGACAAAGAGGCGGGAGACAAATAATGGAGCAAGGGTTTATCATTCTTCATCTTTCATGCCATCTTTATCTACCAGCTACGCCACAAATTTGTTGTGTTTTCATCTTCTATGATCAGAGTTCATTAGGTATTCTTTCTCTCTTTCTCACTTTCATCAAGCACACACAATACCTCTATCTTTGTCACTTATTTATGATCTTCTTGTGTTAGGCATAAAACTTGATACAATCTTGAAAATCTAATCTTTTAACTCATGAATTTGTTAGTTTTCATCTTTTAATATAAAAAGTTAGTTGTGATTTACTATTATTGTATTTGTGTTGTGATTTTATATAATGTCTTGCAAGTGTTTGTTTAACTGCTTCAGTGGGATGTGGCATTATTTTGCTCTGTTTTTGTTTTTATTTTCATTTTTTACCCTTTTATGTTTGTAAGGATGAATAAGATGACAAAATAATACTAATCTCTCTTCACACCATTAGTTCAAGAAAGATTCTAAAGCCACATCTATGTTTTTTTTTTTTTCTGAATTCATAAACATGGTGTTCCTAAAAGTCCCAATACTGTTATGGAAAATTGAGCACTTTTTTAATGCCATGGTATTTCTGATTATTCAAACATTTAAAAAAAGCAATATCAATAATAGAATTAACTAAAAAAATTAAGATAACCCATCACAACTACATAACAATTGATTCAATACTACCAAGAACCAAACTTCATTTATTAATTGATAGAATCAACAAACTATAATGCATATATAGATAGATAGGTTAGTACTAGCCGTGCAAGTGCTTGTGGAGGTTGATTGGTGTACTCCCTAGTCACCACGTCTTTGTTTCTTCCCTTCGCCTTCTCCACCTTAGCCAGATCAGAAGGTGTTTAGGTGGAAAGGTGGATCTTTGAGTGTGTACTATTTTGGGTTTTGGGGCTGAAGCCTAATCTCCAATTGTCCTATGATGGTGGCAACTCTGTTTTATTTCCTTGTTTTTTGGTGGCTGCTATTGGGTTTTGGGGTTGTAGCCTGTTTTCTGGTTGCAACCAAGACATGAAAAGTAATAATCAAATAAATCAATACGTTTTTTTTAGTATTTCCTAGTTTAAAAACTCAGCCATAAAATATAGTAAGACTTCATAAAGCATGAATTTTGTTTCTAGAAGCCGTATATAATAGGAGGAAAAAAGGTCTAAAACTCACCTCTCTCTATGGAAAACAAAAGGCTTAGAATGAAATCCAATTGAAGGTCAAGCTGGACCTTTTTGCATCTAACCAATGGAATTAAAGTCATTTTTGCTAGGTCTTCCCTAAGACAAGTGTGACCTTAACTATGTTACCTAGCTACCTAGAACCACTTTATTTGCATCAAACCAATGAAAGTAAAGTCATTTTGGGTTTGTATGATGGTTGCTAAACTAGTAAAAATGGGGGAATGTTTCAAAGTTCTTCTTTAGTTGTGTATTTGCATTCAACAAAAAAGGGGGCATAATTCAATGTTGAATTTTCTCTTATCACATTATTAGGCCAAGAAAACAATACAAGTGTACAAGCATTAAAATAATGGACAACAAAATTTTTTTTCCTCTCTCTCTCTCTTCCGCCCCCTCTCCCCCCCCCAAAAAAAAAACAAAAACAAAACGAAATATAACAATAAAGAAAAAGCTTGTTGTGGTATTTTATCAAAAACATACAAGACACATGTGTAAACACCCCATTTTTGACTGACCTTAAGACTCAGACGTCATCGATTGAGCGCTCGGTGATTGCGCATGTTGTGCTCGTTTCGAGGTTTTGGAGTTCTTGGCTGAGAGCCTCGCCTCCGGACCTCGGGACCCTTTGTACTATGACTCGGTCTGCAGACTAAGTCTTGTTTTCTCTTCCCGGAGGGAGGGAGAGGTCATGTAGGCCGTCTCTCAGTGGTCGTAGGCCACTGTTCCCGTTTGGAGACTAGTTTCTAGTTTTCGGAGCCGTCGGTCGTGCGCCTCGGTTCGGGACTGCTTAACATTCTCTGCTTGGCACGTTTTTTTTTTTTTTTGGGCACACACCTTGTTTCCTCTGCCTAGAGGGACACTGTGGTCCGAGAGACCACTTTTGTGGTCATACGCCATTTTTTGTGCTCAACAGCCAGTTTTCGAGGCCCCCGACCGCGTGTCTTGCCTCTTGAACTCTCATTTTGCATCCATGTTGGTTCGTTCTTCACACGAACCTTGTTTTCCTTGTTTGGAAGTGGTACAAGGGTGGAAAACCATCTTTTTTTCCTTGGAGACCACTTTTCTCCCCGCCAGCCGATTTTCTGGTTGGGAAACTGGTTTTCTTGGTCTTCGGGCCACATTTTCTGGTTTCCCACCCCACCATTGGCTTGCTTTCAATGTGGAGACCATCATTTCCCCTGGCCGACCATTTTTGTATTTGGCAAACCACTTTAGGTGGTCGGCCGACCACTTAAAGTAGCTGGCCGACCACCTTTTCTGGTCGGCCCCTTTCCCCCTGTTTTGTCAGATTGTGTGGATGCCAACTGTGCCAGTTGGAGGGCACAGACTGTATCCTCTATACACATGTATGGAAGGATTGAATCCATGTTTAGCTTCTCCAAGAAGCTTGAACCTTTGTTTTTTCTACAAGTGAGGGACTCCCTCTCCATTCCACAGGTTCTGAAATTTGCTTAAGGCAAAAACATACATCGCCCTCTCTATTCCTCTTTTGTGGCTTAAGAGTGAGTGTTCTTCATACATTTTGACTACAAACCCTTAGCCAAGCCTCTTAACCTTGGACCTGAGATGCCATAGGACTTGTTTAGGCTTCCTAAAGTTGGTTTTGGCCCAGAGAAGCTGCTGGTTGTTGTGTTCTTCAAGGGTGAGAACTTTAGCTTCTTTAAAGCTTTGCTGTAGTTTGTTTATCTAGCCTTCTTTGCATGCTTTGTTTGGCTTAGTTTTCAACTATAAAAAGCTTTATTTTCCAGTGTTTCAAATGTTTGTTTAAGGCCCTTTTGGTGCTAAGGGTCATCTTCCCTCTTGCATGCCTTATTTGGCCTTGCTTTGTGCCATGCCATAAGGCCTTTGAGTCAACCCTTGCATGGAATTTTAGCCACTGAAATCTAGTGGATTTTCAGTGGTTGGGATGTGGTTTTGAGGCCCTAAATCAGAGAGGGGTGACCCTCTCTCTTTTAGTCTTGTTTGCTTGCATTTTGGGCCTATCAAAGGAGCATGTGTTTTCATACTTTCAAGGCTCGGTTCAGGCACTTTTTGGTGACTTTTAGGGCCTGCCTAGACTCTGTCTATGGCTGGTTTGGTCACCTTGGGTTTGCCTCTTGCATGTGTAGAGTAATCCCTTTTGTGGCTTATCAAAGTAGCGTGTCATTCTTGCATGTATTGGTCATATTTCAGTGGGTTTTTGGTCATCATTTGGCATTCCATGACTCTATTTTCAGCTGGTTTGGTAGCCTCTCACATGCTTCATATGCTTGTAGTGTAAATCATGTTTACTAGCTTAGAATGTATGATGTTTTGGCCCTCTATTCTAGCATATTTTGGCCATGCTCCAACCTGGTTTTGTTTATATTTTGGGCTACCTTATCTCTATTTTGAGGCCTCTTGGTGAAAAGATGCTTGTCATGAATGCTTGTAGTGTAATAGCCTTGCCTAGCCTCGAGTTTTGAAGTCCTTTGCATGCTTAACTTGAGGTATTTTCATGTTTTGGCATCATTGAGCATGATATTTCAAAGCATCTAGGGCTGCCATACTTCCATGTTTTCCACTCTTTAAGTGCTCTTGAGAGTTGTGCTTTTATACCCTATTTAGTGAGCCATTGCATGAGCATCATTTTTGTGCCTTTCAAGGCGTCATCCCAACTCATTTTGCTACTATTTTGGGCCTGCATAGGGTCTGTTTGGAGTTGGTTTGGCCATTTAAGCATTGCCTTGCATACCTATAATGTAATACACTTCACTAGTTTCGATGCTTGAACCATTCAACATGCATTACATGAGTTTGTATGCCATTTCAGAGCTGAAACATGTGTCATTGCACTCCATATTTCATCCTTTCAATGCGTTTGGAAAGTTGTGTTTTGTGCCTTAGACTTGGGGCCATTGCATTGTGCATGATCGTCTGTGTTTTGGTGCCTTATTTCCATCATCTATTGGCCACTAATTTGGGTGTGGCTGAGGCCCATCCATTTTGGTTTAAGTCCATCTTGCATTGAGTATGGCATTTTAGTTCATAGCATTGAGTATGTCATGTTGTCGCATGATTGATCATTGCATTGTGCATGCCTTGTTCATCTCATTGTGTATGTTAGTTTCTACGTGCATTGTGCATTGAGTATACCATTGTTAGTTCATAGCATTCTGTATGCTAGTTGCATGTTTGCATGTTATCCTTTGCATGTTTGCATGACTTAGTTGCATTGCATTAAAATTGCATGCCAGAGTTGCATTGGTGCATGCCTTGTTTGTTGCATTGTGTTTGGAATAGGCATTAGTCCAAACACGGGAAACGAGGCACGTTTCATACTCGAAGTGACGAAACGTACCTCGATTCCCGGTTGCCGACACTCTTGACTACCTATGACGGAGTTATCGGCTTTAGGTACTTGTTTGTGCATTCATTTCACATTGAGCCGTGCAATTTGACTCCTCGGCCATCATGCATCGAGATGCGTGATTGGTGGCCAGAGGGTCAAGGACTACACTCCCTTGAGCTTATGCAATGATGGGGAGAGTGGTCGTGCACACATGTGTTGCGAATACTTTCCCATCTCTCTCTCT